CTGCATGCATGCACACACAGATCTTAGAGCTGGGATCCACGGGACTGATCAGTGCACAACGAGACCTACTACTGCTTAACCTGGACTTGAAATAAGTCCAGAGGAAGAGAAAGAAGAAATCTATAGATGCAGTGGCTATGTGGTGTGATTTACCACTGTAACAGGCCTCCAGAGAATCTGGCAAAATCTTCAGTCCTTTTGGCGTATTGACATAAAGATTTGAGGACTGTGTGTCTGTTCAGTTTCAGGCAGCTATTTCAAGCCCCAGTCACCACTGGTGCTTACAACTTGCACTATACCTGCTCACAGCATGACCACCTCCCCTTTTAGCCACAGAAGTTGGTAATAAAAACTGTTTCCAGTCACTTATCAGCAATTTCTGAAAAATTTGTCTTGACACCATTTCAAGTGAGATTGTTTCTAAGTAAGCTCACTTCACAGATATGTCAGAGACCTGATTCTACTGATTAATACAAGAAGAGACAATGGAGAACAGAAATCTTTAGTCAGATGCAGAAGCAAGAAAAGAACAACCTAGGACACTTACACACAATTCTGAATGTTTCCTCTGCTCTGAAGGACTGGAGGGTAATGCACATTATTACAGACACATGCCAAGAACAAACGTTAATGATAAGCAGACTGAATCAGCCCTGGGCTGATAGGTCTTCACCACAGTTGAAAGGAAGTGATTTGCATTCCTCAAAATGCAGAGATTTGACTGTTGGTAAACTCTACCTGAAAGCACAAAAGCAGATTTGTAGTTCTATCTCCAGTGCCGCCTATGCTCCTGTACCTTGCTGGGAATAATTCGCTGTGCACTCCAGCAAAAGGAGGAAATACAGCTTGCACTGTCATCGAGCAAGCCAAGCAAGCTGTTTGTCAACTCAACCTCCCCCATTTCACGACCACCAGCCTGCCATCAGCTTCATTCAAACCATGGACAAGTATTCAGGAAAAGCAACTAACACACTTGGTGCAGTTAACGTGCATCTGGCAGTGAGTGGCCTCCCTTGCTCACAAAGGGTAACCAGCTTCACGCTGCACTCAGATAACCTCCCAGCACACCGCCCACAGACTGCAGAACATCTTCAGATCCAAACAGGTGAGTCCTGAAGATCACTAACAGATTTCCCTCAGGAGTCAAAACATTACTTCTCCTCTTCCACACCCATCATGGGGAAGAGGTTATGATAATTCCTGAGTGAAACAGATGAGATGTATGCAGATCTCCAGAAACAATCCTTTTTTTCAGCTACTGTTTTCATAGGAATCAGCTCTCAGGAACCACTGGCAAAGAAGGCAACATCTGTGGCAAAATCAAAACAACCTAACAAGCCTTTCCCTATCAGCTTTCACCAGTATTCATGACCTGATCTGGTAAAGAAATTACCTGCTGTCACAGAATTTCATTAAGCTATTTTAAACAGCCAGATACCGTCCAAAAATAAACCCTGGTTGCAGAAGCAGTAACAGAAGATTCACTTTGATAATACAGAAGATCTAAAGAAGCTACAAGCAGAGAGAAATAAGTTTTATACATATAAACTTATACAAAAACTTAACAGCAGTCTGCTTTTCTCCATTGCCTTAAATGGGACAACACTAAAGAACACAAAAACCTAAACCTACAAGGAAAAGATTCAGCTCCTCCAGAATTTCAGGAGCATTTGGTGCAGCTCCTAAGGTCACCCAGTCACTTCTCCAGAGTCAAGAGCACCCTTTGCTTTTAAATAAGACCCGAGCTATCTCTGGGACTCCTTATCAATCACAGAGCGCAGCATGACTGTGCTAGTGAAGCAGCAATAACGGTATTTACTGGGAAAAGGAAAGGACATTCTGAGCAATTTTTTTGTTAGCATTACTGCCCTTTGCTAAGACACTGCATTTGGTTTCCTGTTTCTGATCAGTAGCGCTCTTAACCAACGTTAGCACTGAATGCCAACAGCACTGTGGTGTTTGTCTGAGCCATTATCACGCATCACTTCGTACAGCAGGCTGGAGAGCTGTTCAGAGAGCTGGAAACTGTACTAAAAAAAGCTTGAAGAACTGTTGCAGCATTTGTTTATTTTAAATCACCTGGTCATACCCAACGGCTCTGAGATGAAATTGCTTTGCTGTGTACTCCTGCAAGAGGTACTGCAGCTTACAGGGATGGGAGCTTGGAGCCAAACCAAGCCAGTGAGGCCAGACAAGACAGAAACCAGGATAAGACCCTGTCCCCTTCTGCATCTCTCCTGCAAGGAGAGCCACCGGCTGCCACACAGCTTTGTGCCTATGCTCAGTGCAACCTTCAGAGAAGAGGCAGTACACGGAAGGCACAGCCTCAAACAGCGTTGGAGTGGGCAGCCAGGACAGTCATTCACCTTTCCTGGAAGCTGGGAGTATGGGAAGGGGGCACAAAGCCTCAGTGATGAGTAAGTATTTCACTTGTCAGATGCATGCTGCTTAATCAATATGTATTATTTCAGAGCATTACTCAGACACTGAAACCAATTCCTCATGATCTCAGCAACACAGTCATAGAATCATTAAGGTTGGAAAAGGCCACCAAAATCATCTAGTCCAACCATTAATCCGTCACCATGCCCACTAAAGCATGTGCCCAAATGTCACATCCACACGATTCTTGAACACCCCCAAGGACAATGACTCCACTGCTTCTCCAAGCACCTCTTCCAAAGCCTTACCAAGAGAAGGTTCTTTTGTGATCTCCACCCACAGCCTATCTCATCCCCAGCATCTCTCAGACCCACCTTCATCAGCAAGGACCTTTAGACAAGCACAAAACATCCCTGAAGATGAAGATCACCGTTTTTGTTCCTCATTTCACCATCAAAAAACAGGGGGCCTGGTGGCTCTGCTCCATCCTGCAGCACACATAGAAGTGGCTTTCTGAATACACTGCCCCACAGCAAAAGCCAAAATCCACCAATTCTTCAGCTTCATCAGCTCCCCTGTACCTTTTCCTTTTTCATTCCCTCCCCTCCATGGAAACTGGCAATCTCTCATTATAAAGAATTTTCAAAACAGATTGAGGAGTGCACTGTGCTGTTCCTTTTCTCTTGGATAAAATCCTCCATGGCCCCTCCATAAAATTTGCATCCTAGCTTCATCTGCAATCACTTTGTTTGACTTGCAAGAGGTGGAGGTAACAGTACATGTATGTTTACGTTAGTGTTGCTCCTTCAGCCAGCCCAGGCTACAATTCTGTAAACGTTTAGAATAAACAAATAAAGAACAGGGGAGGGAAGCCAGAGCTGTCTTCCACACTTTGAACTGCTGAGATACCATCCAGAACTGGTCAAGATGCTTAGAATTAGCCCAAGGGAAGGACGGTCCTCTATCTAAGGGGATACAAGTAGCTAACCTCCGACAGAGCCAGAGCAGATGATCATATGCACACTGCCACTCAGATGAATGTTCAAGCATATACATGGCTTTCATCAGCAGTAAGGTGCCAGGCAGCTCCTGGCACCAATCCTGCAGAAGTTCTGCTTATGCACACCTTTACATTCATATACTGAGATCAGCATCTAGTCAACGAAATTACAGGCAGTATGATATACATGTGCATTCACATCTGTGAGATTGGGGCCCTGAAATGAAAGCCACCCATCCCACCAAAACACACCCTATTTAGCTACAATTAAGCACAGACACTTCAGAGCAGCTCAAAGAAGTTATTTTTTATGCATGCTTTTACAATTAACATAATGTTGTACCCCATCAGAATGGGAAAGATTATGACTCAGGAATGTTATCTCAGTTTTAAGAAATCAAACCAAGTCACTTCTCGATCCATTCTTTTTCCTTTCATTCCCCCTTCTTTCAACCTTGTCCCCAGCAAAGGGTACTGCTCTGTGCTCTTGTAAATTACATTCATTAAGAGCTTGAAAAGGCAAATGCCCATCAGCTTCACTACGTAATTATTTTCCCAGCCTCCCTACCACCTCCCTAACAACACAGCAGCATGCAAAGAGGCAACAGAACGGATTAGATAAGAAGAGATATGAGATAATCTTCCAGCACCTACCAAACATCAGCCCACCTTCCTTCATCTCCTGTTCCCCCAGGGAAAAACACCTCTAAAAGCGCTAACTCTGGAGAATAGAGGTGTTCAAGAAACATAGTACTGAGGGATGTGGTTAGTGGGCATAGTGGGGATGGGTTGATGGTTGGACTGGATGATGTTAGAGGCCTTTTCTAACCTTAATGATTTTATGACGCATGGTCCACCCAGAAGCTGCTTGTGAAGAAGCCCTTCAGCCCCCTTGCCACACACACACACACACACCCCCACACACGAGACTCTCACGCTGACAGACACTTTCTGCAGCCAGGATACATGCAGTGAAACCACCATGCAGACTGCAGGGAATGCTGTTTTGGGTTGCCGGGGACCACGGCCCACCAAAAGCACAAGAGGGTGAGCAGAGATTGAACAGACGAAGGAGAAACGAACACAGTAAGAACACCAAGAACAGCAACGGTCTGGCAGGTCCAGAAACAAATCTGAAAGGAGACCTCCTCACCTCACACCCCACCCCACTCGCATCCCACACGCGGCACGAGGGGCCGCATTCCAGCCCTCAACCCCATCTGCTCCACTCGCAGGCACTGAGAAAGTTGCAGGCGGGTGGGCCGAGCCCCCTCCTTCTCTCCCTCCGCCGGCCGACAGCGCACAGGAGCGCATCTCTCCCTCCAGCGGGGCGCGGCGGAGCTCCACTCGCGCTTCTGCTAAGGGGAGCGCTTTTTTCTCCCATCAGACCGTACGAGTTTTTGTGCCGATTATTTTCTTTCCTTCACCCTACAAAAGCGAACCCTTTTGTCTCTCTGAGCACGGATAAAAATCAATAAAACGAACGAATGAACGAACGAACGGCAGCCACCAACCCGCCGCCCGGCAATCCAGCAGCACTCGGGCTGCGCAACGCGTCCCCCCGCACACCCTCGCAACGCAGCCCGCTCCCCCCACAGCTCCCCGCGCCAGCACCCACCGCCGCTCTGCCCACAGCCACAGCCATCGCCGCACTCCCCGCCGCCTGCTGCTGGGGCTGCAACATGGCCACCCGGCGGGGCGGGCCCGCTCCCGCCCAGCCTCGGCCCCTCCCCGCCCCGCCTCGGCCGGGGGGAGCCCGTGGGGCTGGCGGCGAGGCGATGTCTGGGTGCTGCGTGCTTTCTGCACGAGGAAACGGGGCTTCGAGCATAGGGATCAAACACCAGAATGTTCCACAGGCTGATTCCCTGCACACGTGAAGGGCGTTACAGCCCTTAATTGAGCCCAGGTGCCGCCACCGCTGGCAAAGATGCTGCGGCCAGGTTCCCTCCCCAGTGCCTGCTTACAGACCTCCCTGGGTATGGCAGCTCGCCCTGAAAGAGCAGGGAACAAAACCCGGCAGGACAAGGAAACACGCTGCACTCTGCCTAGATCTCAGCTACTGTAGTTCCCCACATTCCTCGTTCTTAAAAGAATGCGTTCCTCATTCTTAAAAGTTCACTGCTGTGAACAAATCTGTCCTCATGCAAAAGGAATTGTGATCTTTCATTCCAGAGACCCTACGGGAACTGTCTGCATTTTTCCAAGCTCTCTTGCACCATTTTGAAGCGATAGTGTGTCAGTGCCTTCCCAACTGTGCATGCCAGCTGTGGCTAATTCCTTAAGATTGCAGGGGAATACACAGGTGAACACAGAGCAGAGGTTAACTTTCCTCCTGGTTGAAATCAACCACAGGTGTATGGCTCGCTAAAGAAAATGTCTTCTTTCACAACAGAAAGCTACAACACTGAACAGTGAGCTCGTTTTTTCTTTGTGCCCCCATTTTGTGACTGGTACCACTCATAACTTACACCAACATCCCCTCAAGAACCAAAAGACCCACTCAGCTCAGAACCCTCAAAAAGGGTGATATGGAGGGGAAGATACTGAGGACCTAGAATGTGTCCAGAGCAGGGCAACAGAGCCAGGAGGGGGATTGGAGCACAGGTCTCATGGGAGCAGCTGGAACTGAGGTTGTTCAGTCTGGAGAAGAAGAGGCTCGGGAGAGACCTTATGGCTCTCTGCAACTGCCTGGAAGGTTTGTGGTGAGATGGGAGTTGGCCTCTGCTCCCAGGTAGCAGTGATAGGATGAGAGGGAATGGCCTTCATTTCCTCATGGGAGGTTCAGTTTGAGTGTTAGGAAAAATTTATTCTCCAGAAGAGTGATGATGCATTGTCACAGGCAGCCAGGGAGGTTGTGGTGTTACTGTTCCTCAAGGTGTTCAAAAGCCGTGGAGAGGTGGCACTGAGGGACGTGGTCAGTGGGTGCAGTGAGGAAAGTCTGGTGGCTAGATATGGTCTTAGAGGTCTTTTCCAATCTTCATGATCCTATGAAACTCAGCCATGCTGAAATCTCCCACCCACAATTGACATCTTACAGTGTTGGTCTTGGTCCTGCAGATACTTTAACAGTCACTTAATGGTACCTGAGTGTATTCCACCAACTTCAAGCAAAAGTCTTAGAGGGCAAAGGTTGTGTTTCTCAGGAGGAAAGCCCTCCAGTCTTCATTGTAAGCAATGAATGGCAGTGTTGTTTAGATGAGAATATCATACCGGAGAAAGCTGTAGGACACCTCCTACTTACATTGCAGTTTATTAAACCAAACAACATTTTCATAGCAATGCTGTCATTTGCCGCTGTTATTTACTTAAACTTTTTATCTCCCTGATCTACCCTGTTTTCTTGTTTGAAATCACAATTATGTCATTATGCTCCACACGTTTCCTCTCCACTGCTGCTGCTGAGGGCATGCTGCTATCGCACACTGGGTGTGAGTGCAACTAAGGGCTAAGAAGGAGAAAGGTGCCTTGGAGGACTATGACAAAAGCAAGTGCAGGGCAATCAAATATTGACTTCTCAGATATCCCTTCTCCCAGTGCCCGTTTCCTAGCCAGCTGAATGCTGCTGATGGGGTGCAGCTACACTCTTGCACTATGCCACACCAAAAACCAAAAGCAGGATGCAGTACAGCATGGAAGCAATTTGCCATTGCCACTGAAACAAACTGCATTTAGGTGAGCTGCAAAACTTCCCTTACTTCACTGAAACTGTAACTTCTAACCTAAGAAGTTTCTTTCAGGGCTGTTCCCTATACTGCAGAGGCTACATTTTAGCAGTCCTGCAACATCACAGGGCAATTTATCAGGCAAACCAGCCTGTAGCAGAAACTAACACAACTTCAATTTAACAACCCAAAAGCACAGACCTGCCAAGCTCAGTTACTTGAGAGCAGCACCATGTACGCATCTGTTCCTGCAATCACCAGTTACCTAGACATAGATGTGTGTATGAAGCAAAGATGTGCCACTGAACTCCTCCATTCATCGATGTTTGACGAACACTGATGAGACCTACCAGTGGATGTCAGCAAGGTGAGTGATGTGGGGCAGTAGGTGGTGCATTTCAGCAGTGGCAACAGTGCAGTGAAAGACAAGCCGCACTCCAGGCAGTCATGCACCACTGCCACAGCATGAAATGAACAGCATCTCAATCAGCTCATCCACACTAATTGGTGGATTGTGACCAGGGAACTGCACACTGCACCGAATATTGGTTTCAGTGCATTGGAAATGATGGTGGCAATGTCAGAATACCACAAAGTTTGCTCCAGATGGGTCCCACAGATGCTCACACGGAGCAGAAAGAACACCATATGCAGGTTTACCAGGACCAACTGAACCAACACGGGGTGGAGGCGACAGTTCCCTCAACCACATCATTACCGGTGATGAGACATGGTGCCACTACTATGAGCTGGCATCAAAATGGCATTCTGAGGAGTGGCAACCTTTGAATTCCCCATGGAAGAAAAAGTTCACAAAGCAGCCCTCAGCAGGTGAAGTGATGTGCACTGTCTGGTGGGACAGCACAGGGCCGATCCTTCTATCTTCCTCGAAGACCAGACAAATCATCAGCTATGACTGCTGCACTGCAGTGCTGACTAAGCTGAGGGCCAGGCAGGTCAAAGAAGAGGGCAACCTTTCTCTTGCAGCACGGTAACACCAGGCCTCATACCAGTTTCAAGACAGTGATGATCTTGACAGTGAAAGGTCCTACCACACCCACTGTATAGTCTGGATTTGGCACCTTCTGACTTCCACCTGTTCAGGCCAATAAAAGATGGACTGAGCAGGCAACATTTTCCTAGAATGCCAACATAGGAGCTGTGAAACAGTGGATGACTTCTGCTGGTACAGATTTTTGAGACGTGGCATGCAGGTTCTTGTTTATCACTGACAGTGGTGACTATCCCAGGAAGGTGGTGGAGTCACTGAACTCCACCTGCTGGAGTTTCAATGTTGTCCTGAGGGACATGCTTTAGTGGGAAATATTGGTGATAGGCACACAGGTGGACTGAATGATCTTGGGGGTCTTTTCCAACCTTGGTGATTCTGTGATTCTATTGAAAAACAGTGTTTTGTAGCTCAGAATTTATTCCACCAAATCGTTATATTGTACTCTTCGTATCTGTTAATGTTTCCTTGGAAATAAATCGGAGGCATTACTTTCGGAGCAACATACATCCTTACAGTCATCCAGGAGCCTGCAGGAGAGTGGACTTCTACTGACCTTCAGCAGCAAGGGTCTGGCAAGCTCAGCTCCTCTGTGCCCCCATTCCCTGAGTGAAAGACAGAAAACGCAGCACACCCTCTCCCACACTACTCATGCCACAAACTCCTTGCGGCTGTGTGGCTATCACTTGGTCGGTGCCCACCAAAGCACTGACCTTACCCACGCTTTTTAGCTAGCTGTAACATACACACGTGTGGTCACCATCCCTGGAGGTGTTCAAGAAACGTGTAGGTGAGGCACTGAGGGACATGGTTACTGTGGGAATGGGTGGACAGCTGGACTCGACGATCTCAGAGGTCTTTTCCAACCTTCGTGACTCGATGACCGTATGATCATCGGTCGATCAGGTACATGATCGCCTCCGCGGCGCTGCGCCCATCCCCACTCCTTCGCCGTCGTCCCCGGCCGCCACCCGGGGCAAAGGCGCGGGAGGCGGAGAGGCGCAGAGGCCGGGCACGGCGGAGGCGGGTTCCCGGCGCGGCGTAACACCGAGCGACCGGAGCATGGCGCGGGAGCTGAGCCAGGAGGCTGTGCTGGACTTCCTCTGGGCAGCGGGGGGCCGAGCCCCCAACGCGGCGCTGCTCCGCCACTTCCAGGGCTTCCTCCGCGATCCGGCGCTGACGGACGCGCAGCGTGGGGAGCGCCGCGAGCGGTTCAAGCGCCTGGTCAATGCCGTGGCCACCGTGCAACCCGCGTCCGCCGGCACCTCCAAGGACATCGTGCTCCGCCGCAGGTACCGCGACCTCCTCGACGAGGAGCTGCCGCCGCAGGAAGAAGAGCCGGAGGAGAAAAAGGAAGAGGAGAAGGAGACTTTCCCACCGCCCCGCTGTGATCCCTGCCGGCGGCGCGACCTCCCGGGGAGGGGCCGGACGGGCGGGGGGCAGCACGGCGGAGCGGCCGCCGCCGCGGGCTGCACTGCCCGGGGCCGCGGTGGGCTCTGCCTCGAGTGCCGCAGGGCGCTCCGCGATGCCGCCGCCGCCACCCCGCCGCCCCCCTATCGGAACCTCCAGGGGCCGCCCCCGTACCGGGCGCCGCGGCCGCCCTACGCCGGACCGTCCCCGTCCCGGTGCCCGCAGCGGCCGCCGCCTCCCGTCGGGTCTGCCTCTGTCGGGTCCCTGCCACCGCCTGGCCCCAGAGGGCTACTCCCAGCCCGGTCCCCTCTGCTGTCAGCGGGCCCCAGGGTGCCGCCTCGCAGCGGGCCACCTCGAGCCCGGTCCCCACAGCCATCCCTCCCGGAGCCATCTCCTGCCCAGTCCCTGCCGCTGCTCTCAGCCCCAGAGATGCCGCCCCTGTCGCAGTCCCGGTCCCTGCAGACACTCACTGCTGGACGCAACCCATCCCCATCACTGCTTTTATCAGGCCCGGATGCGCTCCCCCTGCCCCTGTCCAGGTCCCTTCAGATGCTTTCCACCAGGCTTCCCCCATCCTCGCGAGAGGGGCTCAAGGTACGGACCCCCAACGGCCCA